ACTCTTGCTCCTTGGAAGAAAAACTATGATGAAACTAGACAGCATATTTTCTAGTCAAAGCTATGGTTTTTCCAGTTAGTCGTGTATGGATATGAGAGTTGGATTATAAAGAAAGTTAACATTGAAGAATTGATGCTTTTGAACTGTGGTGTTGCAGAAGACTCTTGAGTCACTTGGACTACAAGGAGATCAAACCAGTCCATCCTAAAGGAAATCAGTCCTGGATATTCCCTGGAAGGACTGATGCTGAAGCTGAAGCTCCAATACCTTGGCCACTTGATGCAAAGAACTGACTCACTGGAAGAGACCCTGATGCTGGGAAAGACTGAAGGCGGGAGGAGAAGGGGACAACAAAGCTTGAGATGGTTGGATGGCATCACCTACTCTATGGACATGAGTTTAAGCAAGCTCCGGGAGTTCGTGCTGCACAGGGAAGCCTGGCGTGCTGCAGTCCACAGGGTCACAAAGAGTCAGACACGATTGAGCAACTGAACTGAACTGAACTGATATTCAGTATATGCTTCATTTACTAAGTAATAGTGATATAAGTTTTAGACATAATCTGTAAAGCAAAAATTTGTGGAAAATTGCTTGATAAGGTATTTGATTATTAACTTCTTTGGTACTGTTTATAACTTTACTGTTTGATCGTTATTCTCAAATTCTTTAAGCCTCATTCAAATTTTTTTTGAATCACTAAGATAACAAATTTTTTATAGTTTTAACAATAATACTAGTTGCCAAAATATATGGAAGTGTATCAAAGTTTTGAGTAACTATAAATGAGAAATCTAGCATTCTATTCATAGTAAGTCCTAATGTATATATACTAAGTCTGAGTTTACAGTCTATGGGAACTTAAATAAAATTTGTATTATACTGTTATGTGAAAATAGTATAAATTCTAATTATGCTGAATTGGTTCACAGTACTTTTCAGGTCTACTATATCCTTCTACTTCTCTGTATATTCATTCTATTAATTTTTGAGAGTTTGATATTGAAACTCCAACTAAAAGTCTTAATTTATCGACTTAAAAAATAATTGCAATACACAGTGAAACTATATGTCACCTTATTCCGTATTTTCCAATTCTCCTGTAAATGTGTTATCATACTTTCACAGTTAAAAAACAAAAATTAATAAATTTTAAAAAGATTAAAGTTTTTAAAAGTGTATTAATCCTTCTATGAAAATGAAATTACTGAAATACTTCATTTAAACACTTTACTGACCAAATAAAAATAGCTTTGTAAGATTATAAATCCTTTTCTTGTTTCTTTTTCTAATGTAATTTTTAAATGTATTTCCATACACTGACTACAGCCAACCTGACTTATTAGAGACTTATACATGGAAATTATAGTACATCTTTTTTGAACAAATAAAAGCAACCTGGACAAATTCTTTTTTTAAATCAAATGAGAATTTCGGAGAACTCCCACAGAACGAGAGAAACACTTTTCTTGAAGGAAGCTTCATTTAACATTGCTTTTTAAAGACCAGAGGGACACACATTCCAATAATAGAGGTAGATAATAAAATACAAATAGAAACATAACTCCAGGCTGTAACAAAATACACCAGCCTGGAGTTATGCTGTTTTTCATATACCTTATAAAATGTCAAAGTCCCACTTGTTTCAGTTTTTTCAAAGACTCAGTAAAAATCAACAAAATCTGTTCTAGTTTATCTTCTCTGCATTACCTCCCACAATTGTCCAAACTAAAGCTTTCTAGACTCTAGATTTGAAGAACATAACTTTGCAATATTTACTTACACATTTAGAAATAAAATAAATAGACAATTCATATTCTATCAAAAGTGTCTGATTTTAATTTGTTGGTTTTTCTGTATTTATATAAAGCTATAAACTCTGTGCAAATATAAAGGAATATATATAATATGCAATTAAATATATGTTATATAAATTTATGTATTGTGAACATGCATGTGTATATTTGTATAATACACATTATCATATATATCTATTCAGAAACAGAAAACTCACCCACTCATACTGGGACAAGAAGATACTATGGTAAAATACAAAGTTGCCAAAGTCCAAACTAGAGATCAAGGCAAAAATATCAATGAAGCAGAAGTCTGATCATTGAAAATAGATACAGAAGAGTATCAATAATACGAAAAATCCAGTTTAAGATTTAGAGGTCAGATTTCAGAATTTCAGGCAGAATTTAAGGGAAATTATGAATAAATGGAAGCTGAGGAAAGACAGAAATCAAGAGGGACAATAATGTTTCCACCTACAGATAATTTACACCCTGTACTAGAAAGTAGAATAAATGGAACAGAGAATATAAACAAAGAAACAAAACACAGTAATTACAACAGAAAATCTATGAGTTAATTGGAAATGTACTCTGTTTTTAAGAAATATCTAGGGTTGGAGTGAGGAGAGAGTAGATGTACATTTCACAGCAAAAGATCAGGGCAAGGCTTATTGGCCTCTGCAGTGGATGAGGCACCACAGCACTCCAAAACCTAGCACGAAAAACTCATGGCACAAGCAGAGGTTACAGGGGTAGCTTCCACTGATGCTGTCAGTATGTTTAACCTCCTTAGACCTGAGATGCTGCTGCAAGAAGCAGGAAGAGGAGTCATAACAATCTAACTTCAGAAACTACTGGTGGTGTCCCAGCATTGGAGGGAGAATATTGCAAACAGTTGTGAGAACTTTTGGAGGATGAGTCAGCGTAAGATACAACCACATGAATTTCAGAAGAGGGATTCCTGCACTGAGAGAAATAAAACTGTTCCCGCATATTTCTCTTGTACCTCTCCATTCTATTTTTCATCTATGTTGGTCTCTTAAAACTAAACTTTTCCATTAAAAATAGCTTTTACAGCTATCAGTATAACCATTCAAGGACATTACATTTATGGTTTACATTTATGTCTGTACTTAAAGAAAATCAGCCTATTTATGAAGTATTTGTAAATTTATAAATATAAATGGTGTACATGTGCAGACATGTATTTAAACACATATATTTGTAGATACATAGTCATAAAAATATGTATTATACATGTGTGCTTAGTCGCTCAGTCATGTCTGACTTTTTGCCACCCCATGGACTGTAGCCCACCAGGCTCCTCTGTCCACGGGATTTCCCAGGCAAGAATACTGGAGGAGGTTGCCATTTCCACCTCCAGAGGATCTTCCCCACCCATGGATCAACCTCCTGTCTCCTGCATTGGCAGGCGGGTTCTTTACTATTCACCCACCTTGGAAGCCCATTTATACATACATGAAACTAGCAGGAGAAGAATATATATCCTTGGCATTTTGAATTATGATTGAAAAGTGAAGAAAGCCTGAGTGCTCTTTTCTTTTTTTCCAATGAGTCATTTCTCTTGGAAGCTCATTCTTAAAAGTTCTGTATATTGATAATCTCTTTCACTTCTGTGTAGTAGTTCTTTTCAAACAAAATACCTTTCAATTTCATTTTTTTGACATATACTTCTTATTTTTAATATACATTTATAGCAGTTCCCTGGATAATCCAAATCAGCACACCCTAAGCCTGGAAGGGTTGTCTTATTTTCAACTAGATTTGCTTAATCCATCATTGATACATTTATATAAAAGCTCACCCACATGCTTTGCAGTTTTTATAGCAATTCATCTTACATTTATAGAATATCAAATATGGAAATTAATTGAGAATATCCTGCAGGCATCATTTTTGCTAGTGAGACAGAGAATAATTTATATTCATGTATTATTTTTGCAATATCTTTCTGAGTGTCTTGGTTAATGAAATATAATTTATCTTTGAAAATTCTTATATTTTCATTTCTGTGACCTAAATGACTTTTGTTCTCTGTGGCAAATATTTATTTTAGAAGATGAAGAAACATGTGTCTCATTTTGATTTTATGCTTCCTTTTAAAAAAGGGAGGTTTCAAGTTCATTAAATAGATTTGAATAACTGGTGAAATTCTCATAATAAGAGGAGTTGCTGTAGCTCAGCTTAAATCTTGTGCTGTGACTATGAAATTCAAAAACAAAAGTAGAGACACGGACATGTTTAGTGAACAGCAGCCAGTGACTTTCAGAACAAATGGTTTAGAGGGAGCATTAAGCTAATAGGTAGGCTTTGTTCTTTTCCTTTTTCTTCTTCATCTTTTTTTTTTTTTTGAAGATAAAACTGCATTTAACAAGAAATGCCTAAGAGCCAAAAAAAGCTTTGTGTGGTGTGAAACGTGTCCTGCTACAGAACATATATGATTCTTAGAAACAAACATATATGATATTAAATATATGTTGAAGCTAAAAAAAAAATGTTGAGGAAAACCACATGAGCAAGTTATAAAGAGTAAATAAGAGTCGGAGACCTGTGTAGGATTTAATTTGGGACTTACACAGCCAGAGGAAAACAACAGACAAGACCTTGACCTATTAAAGATGGAACACTGGAAATGAGAACCCTCAGTAAAACCAGGACTCCCAAAATGATATACCTTAAGAAGAAGACTGAGTTACGGGGAAAAAATAAATAAATAAAACTTTACCAGGAAAGGAGACAAAGAGACCACTTTTCTGCTTCAACTCAACATCATATGGGACAAACTTTTCTGAAAACGTATAACCACTGTCTTATACTCACATTCTGACAGAAATTTCATGCTCTTGGCCATCCAGGAATTCACATATTAATACATGAGAGGTTCTGAGATGGTGGTCTTCTATGGCAAAATGAAAAAACAAGCACGGGTGCTCTCTAAGGAAAATTTCCTCAGTTAAGTTTCTTCAGGATTCCCACAGCTTTATTCTTTAATGAAAAAAAAGCAGAGGTGTAAACTCACGTTCCAGCACACAGGCTCTTCCCCCTGGGACTGCACCACAGGGGTCTCGTCAGCGGCGGGGACTGGGGCGCGCCGCGCAGTTCTCGTGAGACTGCCGCTGAGCTGCTCACGCAACTCTGCACGTGACCCGTCCAGAGAACCACTGAACTGAGGTGTCAGTGCAGCCATCTTGCACTCGGAGCTCTTCTCTGAAGTGCTGGTATGAGAGGCCACTGCACGCAGCATCCTATTAGCAAGTGAAACTAGGCTAGCACAAAGGAAAAGAAAGGTTGGACTTTATTTTATTACCTAGGTTCTATTTTTATTTTCCAAGAATTGTTCATGGGCTTTGCTGCTGACAGTTGTTGGGGCGCAATCAGGAGCTTCCCAGGTATAAGCCGAAGCCCTCTCAGGGTACACAGAGGGTGTGTGCGCATGCGTGTGTGTGCTCAGTCGTATCGGACTCTTTGGCAACATCATGGACTGTATAGCCCACCAGGCTCCTCTGTCCATGGAGTTTTCCAGGCAAGAATACTGAAGTAGGTTATCATTTCCTTCTCCAGGGGATCTTCCAGACCCATGGGTCTAACCTGAGTTTCTTCTGTCTTCTGCATTGGCAGGCGGATTCTTCACCAGCTGAGCAGAGGACAGGGAAAGACTAAAGAGACAAACACTCCAGGTTGGTAGGTGGCGGGTTTCACAAACAAGGGAATATATAAGGTTTGTCTTGAGTGGCTGCTGGACAAGCTAGAGCTTTACATTCGCCCTTAAGAATCTGAAATGTTTATATATATATGATTGGGATCTCTGAATTGAAACCCCACTCAGCTGACTAATGCTTAATCAATGAACAACTGGAAAAGTTGGATAAAAGTACAGGAATGACATGCTTATTTTGAGGCAGTTCAGCCAGATGTATACATATGATTTGTATTCATTTCTACATTATACCTGTAGATGCAGCTGCCCGTCAAGAAAAGAACTGCTGCTCAGCTTTGGGATAGTGTTGAGTCCTAATAATTTGTACTCCAAACACTAGCCTTGTATTTGCTTCTGCAGAACCCAACATGGTGCAGTTTCTACATATACTTTGAACTTCCTTAATGTAACATTCAGTGAGAATATCCATATTAGGATACAAATGCATATCATGCTTTATGCAGAATGAAAGTATAGCACTAAGTCAAAATATTGCTGGTGGATTACACATGTTATGACGATTGGCAAATAGGTAATGAGAATTAAAATGCTCAAGTAAGGTTTCATGAAGTCTGTGAGGATTAAGTTGAAGTTTAGGCAGGGCACGTTGCATATCAAAGGCTAGGAAAATATGGAGAAGTGGAACAACCTTAAATATTGTCACATGCATGAAAAATGCCATAAAGTATGAGTACAGAATAGTCTGACGCAATCACTTAGGAATCATCTTAATACTTTTAATATCTCATCCTGTGGTATCTATATATTTTCAAATGTTTGATATGCAGATACATGCTAATGTATCTGACGTTAACAATCTAAAAAACTTTTGATATTTTCTTTCATCATTTTTATAATGGTCATTTCACACTTTAAACTGGCAGTTGTTTTGGTCACCTAAACAGTTTTAACATTTAAGCCATTTTTGTTTCTTTTGAGAGTATTGACAGGAATCATGTAAATTTTTTTTAAACTTCAGTGATTTTATCTTTAAAATATCCTTTCCATATTATAAAACAAAATATTTTCTGTGAATAAGTTGATTTTGTATGCTTTTTCATTTGTTGTGACAATGATATAAAATAGTGAGAATGGAACTTTTCAATATGTTAAGACTACTAAAACTTTGTAATACATATATTTTCAGTGAAGTGTGTGTGTATGTGTGTGCGTGTGTGTTAGTCACTCAGTTGAGTCCAACTCTGCGATTCCATGGACCATCGCCCTTCAGGCTCCTCTGTCCATGGGATATCCCAGGCAAGAATACTGGAGTGCATTGCCATGCCCTTCAGAGGAATTTTCCTGACCCAGGGATCAAACCTAGTTCTCCTGCATTAGCAGGCAGATTTTTTACTACCTGAGCCACCAACAAAGCCCTTTCAATGAAGCAGAGCATGCCAATTGTGAAAGCAATGCATGCCCTATTTTCCCTGAATATTTGTTAACAAGCTCCACTTTCCTATTTACTTTAAACTAGTTTGGTTTCATGGACAGTCAAAGGACTTGAGGATGGGTGGTCTAATTGACTTGTGCAGATTGATTTGTCTATTAGTTTCTCCTAAAGGAGTGACACTGTTTACATATGAAATGCATGTGTTTTGTATTGCTGGTGAAGTAAATCTGTTATTTTTAGAGAGTTTCATTTTATTTTTGTTTTATTTGTTGTTTTCTTGGTAACTAATCTTCAAAATTACTAACAGACACCTACTAATCTCAATAATTTATCTGATAAAACTTATCTGTAATATTTTATTTTTCATTTGCAAAAAGTGTAAAATAATATTTTGAGGTAATTATAATATTCATGTATGTGCAAATGAATAAATACACATGTCAGGAAGATGGGGGAAAAGCAGAGTCTAGATAACTATTATAATATCTTTTGTAGATGTCCCTAGGAAATTATTTCCATCTCCTTTGGAATAAGGATTTTAAAATTTCTTAGAAGTTCACCTGATGCCTTCCTGAAAATAAGGCTCTGTCAATATGACAGATAGTTATCATTTTGGTAAATCATTTCTCCCTTCTAGCATGTGTAGATGTTTTCAGTGAATGCACCTGTCTTATAAGTGTCTTCTAAAGAAAATGAAAATGACATGACTTCAGGGGTCTGTTGGTTGAAATATTTTCTCCAATTATCTGTGTCAGCACAGAGAGAAATAATGTTAATTCTGACCTAAAGATATGGTTCAAGAATCTTCTTCACACACTCTCACTTATGATTCTCATTGATCTTTTTTAAGTGAAGGCCACTTAGCAAAGATTTCCTCCAGTAAGTTCATATCTGTTTTTTTTTCCAACTGTTCAAATTCTTGCTACATTTTCGCTGTTAGTGATATTGCAAACAGCAGTTAATTGGCATTGTTGCTCTTGTCCTCATTATCACTATAGATTTTGAAAAGCAATCTAACAGAAGTGCCAGATTTCGAGTTAACTGTCAATTATGTTTTTACTGAACAGAAAGAGCATCTGGCTTTCTAAACTCCTGATTACAGTCTTAAACCTGAAATGAATGTTTTCAGGTTTGAATGAAAATACATTGCAATGAAAATACATTGCAATTTCATAATCTTGAATAAGATATTAGATGTAGATAACAATACCGATTTATAATTTTTTATACAAAAAGCTTTTTGAGTGGGAAAGAAAATGTTTACTTATAGAGAATCATTGTTATATGAAAAATGAATAGAAATACTAACTTTGGAATGACAACTTTCATATACTTTAAGACTTCTTAGATATAATAGAACTTACAAATGCCATTTATTGTGCATCTGTGCACACAAAGCCGTATGTTGAACCTAATTATTCTAGTAAATTAAAACATTACAAACCCCAGAGGGCAATTACAAAATCTTTGTCAAAAATCATGGAAACTAACACAACCTAATCCCAAAGTAAATAAGAATATGCATAAAAGTACAGGTCTAAGATTCTTCATAGTATCATTTACAGAGGTAATATTTGGAAACATATATAATATCCAGTAAGAAATGATCATACATGAATTTTAGCACACCTACATGATGCAGTGTAGACTTTGGTTAACATTACCTTAATTCATTTTGTATGAGTATTTCTTAGCATAAAATACCAACATTATGCAGAATGAATAAACTATTACAAAATAACATGCAAATAAAAATGTTTCTCCAAAATTATTTATTCAAAATCTGGAAGATTATATTCAATTTTGAAAATACATTTGTATTTTCAGAAGTACCACTGTTATTGATTTTAATTTCTCTTTTGATTATGTGTGTTTATGAACTTACAGTGGTTAAAATAAGATATAATAATCATGATGATGATAGTAATAATTGCCAACCCAACATGTTTACAGTGGTTACACCCAGCTGTTGACTAAGGCTTTTAAAAGATTACTCACATTCTGAAAGTCTAAATTGATAAGATACTCTCTGTAGAGATAGACAGTAGCAAATGGCAGTAGAGTATTTCTCAGGTATTCTCTAACTGATAAAAACATTTTTATCTGTATTAACTAGGATTTTGCCATCTCAGCTTTTTAAAATTGTACTTTAATTGTGAAAATTTTCCATAGACTGTTAGCCCTTTATTTTCTGTAGCTGAGCAATATAATGATGATGTTAACTGTGATAATGCAAATTAAAATATGAATACAAATAATTTCCAACCAAAATGGGATAATTATAATGAAACTTTTTCTTAAGTCAGATGCAACTGAACAACTGAGTGCACTCATGCACACACACACACACACACACAAAGATACTGTTCTACTAGTTCTAATAACTCACCTTTAGAAATATAGCATCATGTACACAGTAACTCTGGAGCATTACACAGTCTCAGACTTGATTGTTGTTCTAAATTTATAAAATATATCAGAACATGTTTCTATATTTTAATACAGCAATTGTAATTATCAATTACATTTATTCTGGTATTCATAAGTTTCATTTAATTCATTTTTGGAGGTAAAAATACTCTGCAAAAATCCACAGATAAGTCATTCTTAACAATATTTTGAAGTATTTTGATTATATACTCTAGATAAACCTCTTCCTCTGGATAGCACATTCATAGACATTATGAAGTTCTGTGTAAAATTGAGATTTTATATGGATATTGGACTTTTTTCAGGAGTATGTTTATGTCATTCTTCAAAATTAAAATAACACAAAAGTAAATAAAAAGGTAAAGCTGTTTCTTCTGACCACTCCTTTTCAACAAAGTACTAAACAACCTGGGCTTCCCTGGTGGCTCAGTGGTAAAGAAACTACCTGTAATGCAGGAGATGTGGGTTCAGTCCTTGGGTCTGGAAGATCCCCTGGAGAAGGAAATGACAACCCACTCCAGTATTCTTGCCTGCAAAAACAGACAGGAGCCTCATGGGCTATAGTCAGTGGGGTAACAAAAGAGTCAGACATGACTTAGCAGCTAAACAACAACAACAACAAAGTAGAAGACCTAGCAAATAAGAAAAGAAAGAAGAAAGTATACAGATATGGAAAAAAATAAATAAAACTGTCTTTGTTCACAGATAATGTGATCATCTATATGGACAATCAGGAAAAAAAATCTTCCTGGAACTGAAAAGTGATTAAGGTTGCATGATAAAAGATTATAGAAAGGTAATGAGTGTTAATTGCTTTTCCTTATACCACAATGAACAAGTGAAATTTGAAATTAAAAGCATATTATGACTTACATTAGCATCAAAAAACTGAATGTAAATGTAACAATATATGTACAAGTTGTATGTAAGGAAAAGTACAAAACTCTTATTAAATGACTCAAAGAACTAAATAAAAGAGATATTCCATGTTCAAGGATCAGAAGACTCAATATGTCAAAGTATCAGTTCTTTCCAACTTGATCTATCTATTCAATGCAATCTTAATAAAAATCCCACAAATTTATTTAATAGATAGCAACAAACTAATTCTAAATTTTAGGCAGAGTACCAAAAGACCCTAGATAACCAATGTGATT